CACACACACACACACACACACACACACTGACAGAGAGACAGACAGACAGACATGAATGTAGATGCCAGTAGTCTCTCTCTCTCTCTCTCTCTCTCACTCACACGCACACACACATACACAGACACACACACTGGAGGACAGGGGTTGAGGCGAGGGTCACACTACTGATAGCTCGCTGCCTCAGGAGAAAACAAAAGCAACAACAGTTTGTTGTCTTCAGTAAGCTGAAGAAGATGCTGCAGATCTGCTGTGTTGTGTGTCTGTGTCTGTGTGTAGCTGAGAGACTATAACACACACAGGTTGTGCTTTAACAAAGAATTATCTGTTTATTTCTTTTTGAGAACTTGGTCCATGTCTTTGAGATTAAAATGTCTCCCTTCAGTATGTATGTTTGTTGTGAATTACCTGCAATAAGTTTAGAGATTAAGAGTGATGATTTCTTAAATCAGGTCATATTATTTACAAAACGTAAAAGCATTATTATGCTTGACTGGTGTATGGTATAGTATTTGTGCACTTTTTTACTTGGTAACATGATATGCAATACATACTTGCAATCAATTAATATACACAGTTCATACGATTACCAACATTTATGTGTACTTGCGTTCAAGCCCTCAAGACTTAATCCTGTCTTTTGATTAAACATAATATAGTACAAAGCTATCAAAACGATTAAAACAACTGCACCAACAAACGTCTCCCTGAGAGAATAAGTAAAGCCAACTGAGACTCTGATCCAGCCCTTGGTGCCAACTTTCAGTACTTTGTAGTTTTTGATTCTTTACTTCAGTGCTGAGAAATACTTGATATCTGATTCTCACCCAAGGGTTCGACAGTGAGGGTTGCCAGGTTGCAATTGGCAACCTATTTTAGTCTTTGGTTGGGAACAGTGGTAACCACTTTTTAACATATAATAACCAATAAGGAGTAGAGACGGTTGGAAAGCCTTGGAAGCTGAATGGTTACCGCTCATGCAACGTGAACGCAGCGTCCCTGGTTTGAGTCCAACTGTGGGACCTTTATTGTAAGTCCTCTCTCTCTCGGGACAGAAAAACTTGCACCCCAAATTGGATACATTTGTAATACTTGTTGCATTAGAGCTATTTCAATATTGCTGTTCCAGTCAGGACCGGGACCAGACAACACTGCGTTTACTCGCGTTTGCACAAACATCTGTTTTAGAGACAATGGCGACCAAATTGAGCTTTTTGACTGTTTTTTTTTTTTTTGTTTTTTGTTCGGTTACTGTCATAAAGCTTTTATTCTTTTATGCCACATTTTCATTATTAAGCTAACAAAAAGCTGCATAGTATGTTAATTACTCAAAATACAAGGCAAACATATTTTCAGTTTCGGCAACCAAAAGCTGTTCCTGGATGCCCGCCCGGCAACCGCTATTAAAAGTTGGCATTGAGCCGTGCGCCCTTACAAAATAGAGAGTAAGTATGAATCCTGTATTTCTGTGATAGCATGCTGACCTCTGTTTATGCCAAATAAACCGACACATTAAAAAGATTTCTGGGATTTTGTTTTGTCAATAAAAGTTAGTTTGTATCAGAGAGTTATTGGAAACTCAAGAAGACTTCCTGAGCACTGGAGGAAGTTTTCAGGGAAACACCAAACCACACATCCGTGATATATCTCATAAACTGGCTACAGGTTTTATTTTGTTTGACTGGAGAGCAGAAATCAGACGTGTACTCAGATAAAAAATGCCCCTGATTATTTCTTTATGCTTCAGCTGTGGCTTAAGAAAGCGAGCCGGGGGCTCATGGCTGACATCTTCCCTTTGGGCGAACTGTCCCTTTTCACCACTCGCTGTTCACCATCTCGGCGTGTTTACGGCCTGTCATTAGGCCCGCTGCTGTTTAACTATTCATCTCATTTGGCTGATGGAGACAGCGTACGCTTTCATCAACATCTTGGCTCGTTTTCATGATGGCCCTGCTCCGCTTCACTTCAAAGACAAACCGTGGAAAGTGATCTTAAAATAACATGCTGATTTTCAATTCATGCCACTGAATGGACCAGAATGTAAAATCTGAACCTGAGCCAAAAAACAGCTTTTTACAGACACCCAATGATAGCGGAGTAATGCAATTTCAATTATGAATAACGCGTCTGTTTGTTTGTTGGTGCATGTTGTGTGCATGATTCTACTTACATCAAAGGCTTTTCCAGGCGGCTCCCCAGGGAGCCGACTATCTCGCCCAGCGTACAGAACGCCTGGCCCAGGAAGTCCTGCACGTGTGAAAAACATACGAGTAAGCAGACGCTAAAGGAAACATGTAGTGGTGGAAAAGCAGAGAGAAATCTTCTTCATTCAGCATACGAGTTTGATCCAAACGCACCATGCTACACCATACTACACCATGCTACACCACGCTAACACACAAACCGCTTAAAGAAAGTTTATAGTGTTTCAGATTTAAGTCATTACTTATTTTCAGAATAAAGGTGTATTGGCTCTCATTTCTATTTCATTCCAGCAGTTTGATTTCAAATTCAGTTACTCGATTAATCAATTAGTTGATCAAAAGACACAAAATCAGCAACTATTTTGACATTTTATGAATCATTTTAGTCAGCATTCTCTGGTTCGGATGTGATGATTTTAATCTTTTCTTTGTCATGTTTGACAGTAAACTCAGTATTCTTGTTTGTCATCTTAGGCTGTGAGAAATCATAATGGACTTATTTTATAATTTTTGGACATTTTATTCAATAAATGGTTTGTTGATTAGTTGAGAATTTAATCAGCGGATTAACCTGTATTAAAAATAATCGTTAGTTGCAGCTCTCCTGCCAGCTTTCACCAAAATATCTTTGTTAATCAGGACAAACAAGAGTGAGCCAGTCACGGGATCCGACTGAACTGTTCAGTAAGAAAAGAAAGAAGCTAAACTATATTTTCTCAATGTCTGTACATGTACGCGCACCATAGAGGCAAACAGGACACAACAAAAGAAGGCTTTGATTTGCAGCTACTCAGCTTGTAAAGTATTTCAAGTTGTTCCTTGGCTGAATTTAATATTTGTCTGGTAAAAAATTCATATTTTTAGCCTCATTTCAGTTTTTCCATTTATATTTTACACATTGACGGCTCAGCCTGGCATGCAGAGGATCCCGTGTCCTTGTTGATCACTGTAGGGTGACCACGAGGGAGGATTTGGGTTTTGGGGAGGAGGAGCCGCTGGCCAACAAGAGGAGCAAAGAGCAGAGAGACGGGGGGGGGGGGCATACAAAGTCTGTTTACAGGCAAGGAGGGATTGTTCATTGAGGCCTCCGTATTGAGGCCTCCCCTATTAGATTGTGTGTGCGGGAGTTAGCGTGCATGTTCCTGTGTGTGTGTGTGTGTGTGTGTGTGTGTGTGTGTGTGTAAAAGTGCTTGACAGATGAGCCGCATCGAGTCCGGCGGGCAGAAAGCTGCTCCAAAGATCTTTGCCGGTGCTGAGCATAATTCTCCCCCAGCCGAGGTCTTGAGACAAAAAGAGATGACAAAAAGCTCTGGCCTCTGCATACGAAATGTGCTGCTAGCTCGAGAAACCCCGCCGCAGATATCTGAGGCCAGAGGCTGAGGCGCCTCAGATTAACAGGCTCAGTGGTGGCAGGGGAGGAAAAAAAAAAAAGGTTCGGAGGGTTTCTCCCAGGAAAAGAGATCACAGCTGAATCACACAAGTCCTACAGTCCTTCTGGAAGTCTCCTCTGCTCGTTAGGCATCTAATACACAGTTATATCTTACATGTGTACATGTGGACATACTGTATACATATCATATCTATGTTCATGGAGAGAAACTACTCTATTTAAGCAAACATTTACAATGTAATCAAGACCAACAGTCATAAAAGACACAACCATAAGAATAATACCGGTGTTGACAACATTCTGCTGGAATGTGTCCTAAAACTCAAGAAGTAGTATTTTTGCACTTCGGGCTCCCTCGTTTCAGAGTCAGTGGGCATTCTGAATGGGTTTTTCACACCATTCATAAATTTTGAAGCTTTAACGTGTCATTAAAAAGGTTGGTTACTAACAAGTTGCTAAATGAGACTACAAAACATCATCACTAGAACACTGGTCTGCCTTTAGCTTAGTGGAGGTGACGGGAAGTCGTGTGACCATGGTGGAGTTTGTTTCAAGGCAAACGTTAGCTTTTTATTTCTTTAGATTACATTTACGCTCCAAAAATAAGAAAAGTAATGTCTTGGGTTCAAGTCTGGTGAAATCATATTTGCCCCACTACTGTGAACAGTCTAATTAAGATGGAAATGTCACACAAAAGGTTATTTTAGTTGCTTTTCTAGCAACACTACATTCAATACGGGAGATAAAAGTTTGCAGTAAAATCCTGGCAGTTTCCAAATAGTCGTGAGGGAGCAAGCAGGCAGTTAACTTAATTACTGCCTGCAAACAAAGAAGCTACTTCCCTGTCTGGATTCATTTGCTAATCATCAAGTTTAGAATAATGAATAAAGACTTTGAAATGAGATTACTGTTTGTGAGAAGGATAATGAGGTATTCTACCGCCGAAACAAACAGGAGTCTAATAAAGGATTGTGCAGGGTGCTGTGACGAGCGTCTGTCAGAATGAAAAAGCAACATCCACTTCATCTGCTAGCACACAGGATACACGGCCCTTAATTAGATTTTATTCGCTGTATGCTCCGTCTCTGCACAACTTCCCCTGCAGCCATATCTGCACAAGGTATGCAAACCATATGGCACGGGGAAAACATCTGCTGTGTTGGGAGGAAGGAGTCATCCTCAGAAGTTGCCGTTGTAGCTGCCAAGAGAGATACTGTACTCGTGTGCAATTCTTTTTCTTCTTCTATTTTCCGTTATTTAAAGCGACTGGGGATGGACTGCGCACGGACAATGGAGCCGTCACTGCGTGCCAGATCTCCAATCTCACACATCCACAGCGACGACAGGAGGCATCCAAGCGTCCTCAGCCTTCATGCTGAGAGTGAGTCGCTACGCTCACATTGCTCAGCGCTCTCAGTGGAAGGCCTGCGGGCACGCTGGGGCTGGGGAAAGAAGCACTGCCTCCAGTTGGCAATGAGTATAAAGCCGGGTAATAGGAAGAGAGCTGGGGGGGGGGGGGGGGGGGGGGGGGCGGAGATGGAGCCCAGGTTTTAGGCCAGAACTAGAGCAGTGTGCTGCAGCCGGAGCTTCTGTTTGAACTGAGAGCAGAGGATGGAGCTGAAAGGGCGGGGAAATCGGAGGTTGCAGGTTTTGAATCAAGAAGCAGGTCGAGCTTGAAGAAATGCTGGCTGAATGGTGTTTGGAGCTGGTCACGCCGAGTCGCGTCACTAAAAAAATACAACACAGCTCTGTATACAACACAGAGCCTTGACATCATTTCTGGGGGATAATGTCAGTAAACTTAAATACATTTGGGGGGATCATTTTTGATGAGTCATTTTTGCGCTGAAAAGCTACAAAATGTTTTTATTTGAATCTCTTTACTAAATACATAAAGCACCTATTTGAACCAGATGACCACCATCTCTGTACACTGGTGCTCATGGCGATCAGTGGATGAGTCAATGAGTAAATTGACAGAAAATGAACCACGCCACTGTTTCTGATAACACTGAGTCAAACATTTCTTGCACCTTACATTTTGGCAAGAGACTTAAAATGTGCACATAAAAAGCTGCCATAACTTGTGAATAACGTATGGCAGAATATTATGGAGAAATTGACATTAAGATAAATTTACAAATGTCTGGTCAAGATGTATTTACTTCATTAGACCATGAAGATGAGACTTTACATGGAGCACAATTACTAGTGTAAAAGAATATACTATATGACAATGGAGATGGTTGTCTTGACTGGGATTTAACGTACAATGTGCTTGGAGTTTGGATTTTTTAAATTGTTCTTTCAGCCTCCTTTTATGAATTTATTTTCTAGTATCTCAAACAAAATTAATCGGAAAGTCAAACTGCTGAAAAGTACCCAAAGATATCTCATTAAAGAAGTGTGTATGTGCGAGTAGTTCTACTTCTGACAGCTTGTCTATAAATAAACCAATAAACCCTCCACTTATCTAGTTATGGTAACTAATTTGTATCTGTAATTGTGTTTCATTCTGAGCCTCGATCTTCATATATTATTGTTTTGCACTAAACATTGCTAACAAACAGAAAAAGCAAGCCGATCAGAAACATTGCAGAGAGACAGACAGAAACCCTCTGAATGTCTTTGGATCAGAAATATCTCTTCTGTGGGAGAGATTAAATGGCTCTCTCACCTCTGATTCATATGCGGCTGCCATTGTACTGGAAGGGTAAACATTTGGCTGTATATTATCTCCATGAATGCGCGGCTGATTGTTGAACAGCTGAGGTGAAGGAGACACTCACGTGTTTAGAGAGGTTGTCGCTCTTGCAGTCTAAATCATACCTGCAGAGAGGAGAAGAGAAGGTTTGAGCAGCAGGTTGCGAAAAAAACACAAATTAGCATTCAGTGACAAAAGCTTCTCGACGTCATCGTCAACATTAACTTGAGGCACTCGCCCGCTAATCACTGCTCAGGTTTAAAGTAGGCTCGTGATCAAGGCACCAACAACTTTAGTGATCTGATTTCATGCATAAGGGCACAACAATATGAGTGGCCTCAGTATCGTTAAAGGTGAACATCTGTAAAAGCTTTATGGAGCACATTTTAACATTATAAATATTAGTGTTTTAGGAGCAGTTGAATAAAAGATACAAAAAGATATAAGATCATCAATCACTGAAGAGATGTATCACAGTATAAACTCACCAGGCAAACACATTGTTTTTCATGCACTGACCATTTCTGAGATTTTAGATTATTTTGCTTCTAAATCTCTTTACAGACTAGCGGGAAGAAAACGTCCAAAATACACATTTAGATGTTTGAATTAAAGAGTTAGCATTAGATAATGTCTCATTTGCATATATAAATACAAATTTTCAGAAAATGTGTAATACAAAAAAGACTGTGGAATGGCGATGACGATCTAGTTAAATATATTACACTATATATTAAATATATTACACTATCCACCTGTAGTGTCTCACCTGAAGCTTGAATTAAACACGGTCAGAAATTACTGTAAACGGTATGTATGTGTGTGTGTGGATGTGTGTGTGTGTATGGATGTGTGTGTGTATGTGTGTATGGATGTAGTAGCTATGTAGCACTACTTGTAGCACAGTAAAACTGGACCACAAATCTGGATATACAGTTCACTTGTATAAAGATACTGTTTGATTGTTGTCTACATAAAACCTTTATGTTATGTCTGATTATCTATGTTAAGCAAAATAAATAATTTACTCAAAGAACATCCTGTTGTACTGAAGAAGACTTCAAACTAACTCATGTTTACAATGTTTACTGAGGTAACAAATCAAGAGAGAAGTAGAGTCATTTTCTCATAGACTTCTATACAACCAGAGGAGTCGCCCCCTGCTGGTCAGTAGAGATAATGCAAGTTTAAAACACTTCAGCATTGGCTTCACTTTTCAGAAGCGGAGGTTGCTGCCTGATTGGCAGATAGTTCACACATATTTAGGAATACAGAAAGTTTAAGCATGACATGAAGACAGTAGAGCTTCTCAGTGCTCCATTCTAGCATTTGAATGACATGAACAACAGGTGAAAAAAACAATATCAGATTTTATAAGATTTTTTACATTGCAATGCATTATGGAAGTCTAAGTATGGAAATCACTACATTATATATACTGAGTCATCCATATGCAGCAGGCAGAATCAGACAGCGGCCCAGTTTTGACAAAACTCTGAATAAATGATTCAACAAATCGCTGAATTAATAGAATACTCAATTTATTGTAGTCCTGTGCCATTGTCCGACTCACAATGGGAAGTTTTTTTAAGAAAAGGATAAAAATCGATGCAGCAGAGATATCATCTTTTTCATTCCGCTCATTCTTCTTCCTTGTTAAAACCTGGTTTTTACATTACCCACAATGCAACTCGGCCAACAACAGTTCAGTCTGAGATTCTTTCTCGAACATGCAGTGTCAGTCCTGTGGTGAGAAGACTGTGTTCCCTTTGAAGCATACAACGCTTTTTTAGTTGTCCAACAAGCTTATAGTCGACAAGTTGAATAAATAGATATTTTTCTGAAAAGTAATGGCAGATATATGACTCCCACCTGACAACAAAGCATAAGGGTTCAACTATCACAGCGCCTCTCCGCCTGACATACTTCTGTCCATCTTTTACAGGAGCATTCATTCAAAACCAGAAGTCACATCATGCAAACCATGTCAACCACTCGCATCTCCCGAGAGCAATTTATCCAGCTCTATTCACTTCCTGTCAACCTCACCTTCACCTATCTGGGTGTATCAGGTGTGTGACCATATCTGTGTGTGTGTGGAGAGTGTGTGCAGCAGAGTGTGTATAAGGGAGAGCCAGAGCGCTTCTTTCTACAGACAGCATGTCATGTACGATACATGTACTATGAGACGGTCTTTGGGGGGGGGGGGGCAGTGATGTTATACTAATGTAATTCCATAAGAGCAACAAAACACGCTGCCGTTACGCAACACGCCGGAGGCAAAATGCACAGGTGCGCTTCATGTTATATTCGTTCTTTGCCTCTGTCACTCCCAAATGTTCATAAATGATTCATGTAATGTTACTTAATTATGAGAAACCCAGAGAGAGAGAGACAGAGAGAGACAGAGACAGAGGGAGAGAGAGACAGAGACAGAGACAGAGAGAGAGAGAGAGAGAGAGAGAGAGAGAGAGAGAGAGAGAGAGAGAGAGAGAGAGAGGACGTCAAGTCAATTTTATTTCTATAGCAGTTTCACATATCCCAAATTTGCCTCAAGGGGCTTTACGATCTGTATCCGACACCCTGTTTCATTTCAAACCCGTGATTCGGAGAAGAACCCCCCCCCCACCCAAAATAAGTAAGAAACCTCAGGAGGAGCAACAGAGGAGGGCTCCCTCTCTCTGGACGTCGTATAAAAACAACAGCACTGACTATCAATAGGACCAAGTAATGGACTGTAAACGTATTTGAAGAAGGTGATGATTTGGCTGCACATGTTCACCCCCCCACCAGACACACACACACACACACACACACACACACACACACACACACACACAAGAGAGAGAGTGTGCAGGAGTGCACGCCTCACGGCTCCTCGTGAGTGCACATTTGCTGTGTGTGACTGAGTTTGTGTTTATGTGGATGACATCACTCTGCATCGGCACTGGGCCAGACAGGATTTCTCTTGCGGGGGGGGGGGGGTGGGGGCTGCTGCTCAGAGCTGAACTGAGCAATGATGACTAATGACGGCACACAAACAAACGGGGCCGCCGAGGCAGGCGAACAACAGAGGACAGCACGCTGACACTTGAGCTCCGTCTCCTAACAGCTTTATAAAAAGCCCTGATAAAGCCTGTCATACCGACTGATACAAGGTGCAATATATTAGCACATATTCTGTGCTGTAAGTGGTCCTGACAGGTTATCCTGAAAGTGGTATTTCACCAACAATACTGCTGTTAAAGGAAGGGAATAACACACTTCCACATTTTAGGCCATGTCGCTGTTTCTTTTAGAAAATCCACTTATTGTTGCCTCGGACAAAACCTGCTCACGCCAAATGATTGTCGTGCAAATAATAGTAAACAATGGTCAGATTTTCAACAATTCAAATGATAAATTAACCATTTGTTGCTTGAAATGCATTTATATCTACATTGGTGTCTGTATTGGGTTTAGATTTCACTGTTTATTGGTAATTAAATCTGGGTTCTATTTGTGGCGTTATTATCATTATTACGGAAAGAAACAAAAATGTGCTTTTCAGCAGAGTTTTACTGCGGTACAGAAATCTGTCATCAATTCCAAAGTATTCTGTGATTCTAACTGGCTTAAAGATAAAAAGAATAAAATATATATACATAAAAACACAAGCTACTCTTATGCAATGAAGCCTTTCCTGCATCCTAGAATAAAATGCAACGTTACTGCAGTACAAGTAACTCTATAGTTCATACTATATATTCATATTTATAGCATGAACTGATTGTGAGGTACTTTTACTGCAACCTAAAATAAAACGCATTTTATTCTTCACAGCATTAGAGTGGCTTATTCTACTACATGAAATCCTTTCAGTGTAGTGAGTCTTCTGACCACATTCAGTGCTAGCTCCAGTCAACCGTATTGTAGACACTATATATGAATACATAACCATACATACATAACCAGCAACATTCATTTTGTTCCCAAAAAATTGACATAAGAATTTTTCTTGATCAATTCAAGGTTCTCATGAAAATCAAATTGCTTCAAATACAGACAAGATTCTTGATTACCAATAATCAGGACGAAATATCATCAAGCGAGTGAAATAAACACATTTATTACAGCTAAATTCTTCTTTTTTTTTAACTTTTGGGAGTGTAATTCACGTCATATTTTTTTTAGAAGTCTGACCACACTTGATTAGAGAACTGTCCACCCGCAGGGCTTCCTATGGCTTCAGTGAGCCTCTCGAGTCCCAATTCAAAAAAGAAAAAAAGGAAAGAGGAGCACTGAACATGGCCGGCAGTGAGACGGGGGGGGGGGGGGGGTTTAACAGGATTTCCAGGCACGGATAGCAGCAGAGGATGCAAACTGTGTCGTGGCTTCGGGGTCTTCTGGCTAAAGAGAGCATGGGATGGTTCTGCGGCAGCTATGCTGGCGGTTTGCGGGGAGCTGTCTTGCTGTGTGGACGTCCCGGAGGGATGAGGAGCGCTGAGTGGGAGTGAGGGAGGTGGAGGTAATGAAGGGCTGCAGGGAGCTGCAGGAGCTGCAGTGAAAAAAGACTTCCAGACCTCATGACAGAGGCTGAGGAAAGCAGGGGTAACCACTGGTTCTGTAATGAGCGTACTGCATGTGTGTTGCAGCACAACATGAGTAGCAAACGGGAAATGTGTGTCTGTGTGTGTGCGCAAGTGTTTTGGAGATTTTTTCTTTTTCTGAAGGCAGACAAGAGGGGGGACAAGCAACGTCCTCACTGCGAGGGACTGTAGTGCCATCAGCCCAGCAGGAAGTACCGGGGCCTGATGCTCACCCACTCACAACGAGCCCTACAGGGAGTCGGCCAGGCCGCCAGGCTGCCCGCCCGCCCGCACACACACACACACACACACACACACACACACACTCCTCCATCCCCTCTGCCCACTGCTTGTCAGCTTTAAACATCTTGGACGATATGCTCTGGAAAGAGTCTGCATTACATTTTTCGAGCACAGGAATATACATTCAGATGATTAAACACACACAATGAAAACGGACACACACACACACACACATAAGGAAGCCATACGCACACACACGCACACACACACACACAAGACTAACATATTATACCAAACATCACACCAATAATTCATATTTGTCTTGCCAAGCACACAATAAATTTAACAGACTTTACTTACATACGCTGAATTGGAAACACACACACACACACACACACACACACACACACACACACACACACATACACACAGGCCTTATGGTAAAAGTCAACACAAACATGTGCTCAGATTCATACACACACACACACACATCCACACAACCCACGTAAATAACCCTCCACATACTTGAACCCACATGTTTACATGCCTAAAGGTACACACAGACCTTATCTCACAGAGGCTGTATACACAACTTAAATACAATGCACTGCTCGTCTCACACACACACACACACACACACACACACACACACACACACACACACACAAAAGCAACAGCTAGCGTCTCTCCTTGACCTTCCCCGAGGCCTCCTACAGCTAAGCAGCATGTGGCCCTTCTGACAGGCCAACAAGTAAACAAACAAAAGAGACGTTCCATATTTCAGGAGCTATCACGGGGAAAAAATGGAAAAAGCGTGAGGCTGGAACACAATAGAGGAAAAATACATATTATCATAATTACTTAGACAGCTCAACTTTTAGGGTTACATGAGGAAATATATGACTTCTTTACATTTTAACAGCAGCGTGATTGAAAATGCAGGTGTATCTGATGTAGACGAAACAGCATGAAGATATTATATTAAAAGCTTAAATTAATAAGTTTCTGTCCGTCTCAACAAATGTTGACACCTAACGAACAAATCAGGACAATTTTCATCATTCAATCAAAAGCACGACTCACTCACTACCTTCCCAAAAAGTCTGATAACAAATCCCGACAATTTAGCAACCAGCTAGAAGTTAAAAGTACAAAATTCCTCTCTGGGATATAGGGGACTAGAAGTATAAAGTTATAAGTACAGTACTTGAGTAAATGTACTTGGATACATTCCACCACTGCTAGAAGCACAACATTGTCTAGCATCTTAATTTTTCACTCAAACTGCACCAGATTGATGGATTTAACTTTAAAACGTAGAACATTTTCTTGCAGGGGAGCATTCCCCCGGATCCCCCCGATAGGGTCTGAGGTCCAAAAACCATAGTCTCACAGAATCCTGTGGGAAACACTGCCCAGTGCTTTAGGCAGTCAATTAAAATTGTATGATCGACTGTGTCAAAAGCCGCACTTAGGTCTAAAAGGATTAAGGCCGAGCAATCTCCTGCATCTGCTGCTGAAAGGAGGTCGTTTGTTCCTTTCATGTGGACCTTTTCCTGCACTGCATAGAATCGTGAACACGATTCAGACTCATAACAAAAACAATGTCGAGTATTAAAAACATACAAAAATACAATACAATTGACAGAATTCAGGGTCTTGATCACTTACAATAAATTGATTTCATGCAATTGTGTGCTTGAAGATTCCACTGAAACTTGTCTTTCCAAAGGATGCTGAGGTGAAATACTGAAGATGGATTATAATCGTCACACAATGCCGAGTGTATAATCCACTGTGGGCACATGGCCCTATTTTGTCTCAAAGCATTGTATGAATTCAAATGGAAATGCCGGTGGAAAAGAAAAAGAGTGAAAACTTAGTCTTTTATTTAAGAGGGAGAAGACTTCTACATCTCCCTCCGCGCAGACCATGAATATTTCAGTCTTAGCTCAACTTTGCTCCCTACAGAGAAGCGCCCACGCTTGCACAACACACACAAATACACACAGACAGACACACACACACACCAACACGCATAAGTCAATTGTCAACTCACAGGTCAAAGCGTAGATTCTGCCTCTCCTCGAAGAAATAGTCCAGGATGAATTTGCGGACAAAGTCAGGGTTGAGGGTGTTATCTATGACTTCCGTCCTGCCGAACTGGAAGACAAAATGAGACAGGTGACCTCTGATTACTGAGACTCATTCATCAAACGACACACCAGCAAAACACCGGACCAGAAACATAAAAAGTACTAGTCCTGTAATTAATAATTAGAGTTGAAAAGTCCATTGTTGTTGACAAAGAATTCTTCAAAAAAAACACTGAAGGAACGTGCCAATATGTAACATGTTAAATGCTAAATTTGCAATACAATGCTTGAGTTCACCTGAAGCTGATAATTCACGCTGGTGAAAGTTGAGTCAAGTCTTCAAAAATAAGTGCCGAGGTCAAGCTGGGTCAAAAATGTCCAAAACTTGCCGCTGTATACGGGATAAACCATTTTGATTCAGGCAACAACATGACCTTTCCCCCGGTGCCGCCCTCAGGACAGACTTTAAAGTAAAGCCTCATTAGAATAACTTTCTCTCCATTTATCATCCAGCCAATGATTCTCTCTAGAACAAATGACAGCTTTACAGAGCTGATATGGTGAGAGATAGTCACGTGATCATCTGATTTGTAAACTTCAGTGACTGGTGCTGGTTAAGCATGCCAATCGTAATAAACCAAAATGGACCCATGGATAAATTAGCTTACAGTTGCATCGATTTTTCAAATAAAAAATGTTTTCACAGAATTCGCAACATGCGTGCTGCCATTTGCAATGTGAAAAACACTTTCTCTCATTGATTTCGGCATATTTCGCTAGTTAAACCAAAGCTTGTGACCCTGTAGTACTCGCAACGTCTCATCTTCTGTGAAATGCGAAGCTGCCGCTATTTGCAATCTGCATGTAAGTAGTGCTTGAAAAGCACTTTGGTGAAAGGGGCCCCTGATCTGAAAGAGACCCAGACAGTAATTACACCTGCTCCAAAAAAGCAATCATCCCAAACTAAGAGAGAACGGCGACACAATAAATATGATTTGGACGACTCGGGTCCCGAGTTTCACTTACTAGTTCACAGGGCGTTCACTTAAATCTGGTTTTGTCACACAAACATTTAAACATGAATGACACAGCAACACTGGTGAAAACGACAAAAAGAGTGGGCTGTGATGAATTCAAACCAACACATTGATCCAATAGGCTGAACGTGAGCATTTCTGAGGGCAAAAAGAAAAACCAGCATTACTTGCTGAGGTCTTATCACTTATCAGATACTGTAAACTGGCTCACAGGCCAGCCTTCAAAAGCTCCTTGGAAGCTTTCACTGGTTATAAATTATTCCCCCAACACCCCACCCCGTGTACTCACCTCTCTCCATTCCCTGTTGGCTATTCCTTGAGTGTACAGCACACAAACTGTTGAATTAGAAACAGAGGAGGGGAGAGAAACAAGAGAAGGTTAAGACCGATCGAAGAGTATTTAACAACGCTGAAGAGTCAGCTGAGATGCTGTTCTGTCCCCGGACCCCAACATGAGAGGAAAACTCCCTAATTAAATGTCAGTAGAACTTTGCCTTGCAGCATGATGATATTTCAGAGAGGAATAGAGGAGGGGGGGGGGGGGTAGTGAGTGTCTGTGTGGGTGGAGGAAAGTTCTCCCTATTGACATTCGAGCATCTCCGTCCAAGGGAGTCTTGGAGTGTTTTTTGATTACGGACCGCTAGTGAAAACACGGCGAGGCAATCAGCTGGCACTAAAATAACATTTCATTTGCATTCTAGCAGCCTTCACTGTATTCACACACACACACACACACACACACACACACACACACACACACACACATCTGTCACATGGCAGCAACTCATAACTCTGAGAACCCCAAAGGACCAGACACTTGGAAATCTGTTTTTACTGGTAAAATGCATCGGGATGGTGCTGACGTTAGAAATGCACAAATATGATTATATTATATTTAAAATCCTTTTAAATTGCAATAAAACAAATTTCTTTGACTGCCCGCAACCCATCTTTAAACACAGGCACCATCTTGACAACTTTGCCGTGTCATCACCATTCATATCAATACAACCAATGGTTTTAAACATACTTACAAGTCAAAGTCCTGTGTTCAAAATGTTACTTAAGTAAAGGTACAAAAGTACTGACATCAAAATATAATTATAAGTAAAAGCATACTAAAAAATATCTCTACGGCCTATAACACATGATTATAATTACTGATTCATTAATGTATTCATCACTTTATTGTTGAAGCTTGTAAAGGTGGAGCTACTTTATATAATGAATAATTAGGCTACGTACTACTTAATAATACATCAATCTGAATCAGCACAGTAGTAATAGTAACTAATACTGTCCAATAAATCTAGTGTAGGTAAAAGTAGAAGATCACCCTCTGAGATGTAGTGGACTAGAATGTTCTTCATAGATCCAGCCTTTTTTTAATATCGCTCTCAAAGTGCACCAGATTGACGGATTTAACTTCAAATGTACAACATGTTCTTCCCGGGGAGCATATGCCCCCGTGCCCCCCCCCCCCCCCTAGAAGGTCTGAGGACCACCCACCATAGCATCAATAAATGCTGTGAGAAACACTGAGTCATCGATTTACAAATAGTGGGAGCAATCCAAACCAGCTGGATACATTTGAATTGAAGCTGGTAGTAGAGACTTTTTAAAAACACTGATATCTGGACTCACAAACGGCTCTGTTATGTATGGTTAGTGTGTTAACTTCTGTAATCTGAGCCCCATCCTGTTTGGAATAATCTCTAAAAACACTCCTCATGAGGAGGACAGAGCAGCCCGTTTCCAACCCATTCCACTTGAGCAATAATGATCGCTAACTCTAAAAGGCCACAACAGCAACCTCTGTGTGTCCTTGTCCTATCTGGTCGCACGACAGCACTAAAAAAGAAAAAGGAAAAAACTACAACCGGCGTTAGTCTGCTGTGTTGAGAGCTAAGTAACCACTGAGATGCTCACACACCAGGCACTATGTACCATCATGCATTGCGTTGAAGAAAAAAACAAAAACAATGTGAGCAGAGCATCACAACACAAACTGGCCACAAATTACTTATTCATTTCTGAACAAAGGCTTATTGCCCCCACATTGACTCCTTGCATTCCTACCTTTCACAATATAAGCCCTAGACATATACAGGACGTTGCATTGGGGCAACTTAAACTCAAACACAGATAATGTAGCTTACAACAAGTAAGTCTGTATCTGTAACGGATGGTCCACCAGCGATGCTGATCTGCCAATGTTTAAATTGTAAGATAGCAGTGATGCAATTAACGGTGAAGCGAAAATGACCCAAGTGTGTCTGAAAATAGTTTTTTTTCTTCTTCTTCATGTTGGCGATGAGCTCACTACATAATCCTCGACATAGAAGTCCCGAGATAGGGAGTAGGGGCTAGTGAATGAGTGAGTGATTTTGGACACAGCCCAAGTGTCATTTAACAAGACACTGATTTCATGCCTGTCACACATAACGGATAGGAGTCTGAACAAGGACTGCAGATGGAAAAGAAGTAGCTGTGCTACAAAGCATCGCCCACTTGAGACTGAATCCCAAACTGTCTTGTGCTATCACAAAGAAGTGAGAATTCTTCTCCTCCTCTTTGCTGTGGCCGTTGCTCATTCTTCTCCCTTCCTACTAGTGGTTGTGTCCCGGTGTGTTTACACGGTTGTCATTTTACTGGTATCAATAAAAGCCTTGTCAGAGGCAGACGCAGGGAGGAGGAAGGGAAGAAGAAAAGCTGCCTGGCAACCTCGCGGTGTGACAATAAGACGGCAGGAAGTTGCTGCGCCCGTCCGAAGAAATAGTCCGAAAGATAACACCTCAAAAAATACAACAACATGTTATTTTAAGACCTTTCATGCGAGGTTAGTTACTCGCTACTTTGAGGGTTGCTTATTATATTACAGGATACTATAGCCAGTGAGAAGGGAATCAGCTTGGATTTCAAATAAACTGTCCACATAAGTTGGGTTGAGCAATAAATGGACCCTGTTGAAAACAAGACTGCATATCTAGATTATAGTTTCATGAACTTTACAATATTGCAAAGAGTGAAGCAAAAAAGCGTGTTTGTAAATTAACAGAATGTTACTTCTACACTTTGATGCTGTTCAAAACTTCAGTTTGTGTAAAAAATTTAAAAAAAGGATTAACTTAGACAAGCTTTAGGGAAGAAGATCATTAAAGCCAAAAGATGAGACTATTTAAATGTAGCATAAAAACTCTAAAATCAGGGTCCTAGAAAAAACACATGAGGCAATCAGACGCTCTAAAAAAAGAACTTGAGTTGATCTTGTGACATCTGATTATGAAGGAGACAACTTCCTCCGAGGCGACATGCATTATCATTAATTACAGCATTAATTAATTGTAAATTTATGCCTGAGTTAATGTATGAGCTACCACCTACTGATGAAATTACATGACTGATGTAATCATGGATTCATTAACAGTTGTGACTGTGAGTGAAAATCATCCTATCTGTTGAATTACAGGGTTTATTTCCTCCCCCGAAAAACTGACATTTCCATCTTTTAGAGTGAAGCTCCTGCTGAGCCCACATAAGTTATAATATTAATAACATTTTGGGGGTTTTTTCCGACTCACGGCCGTGTCGAGAAAAATAAATGTCACTGTTTTTGCGTGCAAACACAAAAAAAACCAAACAAAAAGGTCCTAATTACCCTGCGTCTTGTGCTCAAACTGTTGCCGTGTTTTGGCAGACCGTCAGTCTGGATGGATGTTGGATGATGTATATGTTGCATTGTGGGTGGTGTGCAGCGAGCCGGGGCTCAGCTGGATGAATATGCGGTCGTCCTTTAATCTCACAATGAAGCATCGGACGACACATGTGGTCTCTGCATTATTGTGCGATACATCAATCACATGCCCGACAAATAGTGATGCAACCACGCCATCTGTACCGGTGCACTTTCAAGTCTTCAATTCATCGGGGCTGATGATGTTGATGTTGATGTTGATGTTGATGGGGGGGGGGGGGGGGGGGGGGGGGGGGGGGG